GGCTCAAATTAGATAGGTTTTATATATTATATTCTTGCAATAATTTATATATGCCCACCTATACTAAAGGAGATCCACTTTTGTCTATGTTGCTTCTCTTTGAAAAATATATTGAGTTTTTGAAATTACAAATTAATATGTATCTTTACTATACTACTAACAATTCAGATACTCTTACTCAAGCTAAATTTGTTATTTGGCTTCTTAAAGTTGAAGAAAGTTGGATTTCTAATATTACAAAAGATATTGCTAATATTCAACTTTTTAATAATATTGTCCTTTTTTCTAAAAGATTAAATGATCTAATCCATTTTGCTTATTCTGAATTTACACCAAATACTAATTCTTATTATTTTGTTGAGTGATCTTTACTTGTCTCTAAAAATAAACAGATTAATGAAATCAATACAATAATTATATTCTGATTTCCTAGAGATATGTCTAAGTATCTAAGTTCAAATATAATTGAAAACCAAACAGATTTGAATAATTTATATCCTATTAAATTTTTAAATTCTCTAACTATTAGTAGTCTTCTTTTGCATAAGCTTATATTAAAACCAGATATATTAATTATATTATTGCACAATCTTTATTTTTCTGCTAGTTTTTGCAATAGAACTAGATTAATTTGTTACTCTTTTACTAGATACATTATCAAAGCTGAAATTATCACTAGCACTCTATCTGAAAACTAAGTTTTTATTCTAAGAATTACTATGTTATCTTTGAATACTGATCTTCTTTTTACTTTCAAACATCACCAATTTTCTGTCAGTCTGCTTTTGCTATAACCATTAATAAAGCTTAAAGACAAATATTAAATTTGGTTAGTTTATATCTTTCTACTTCTGTATTTTCTCATAGACAACTATATGTAGTCTGTTTATAAGTAACATCATACAAGAATTTACAAATTTTTATCTTATAATAAAATGAAATGATTATTATTACATATAATAATATTTATCCCAAAATTTTTCAATAACAATTTTCTTTTGTATACAATTAAATTCTCTTAAATTAGGTAAGTTATCTTTTACAAGTTCTATTGCTTACTCCTTACTTTTTTTTCAAAGTTAATAATAGCATCTTACATTATATATTACTCTATTATTAGATAAGTTATCTTTTACAAGTCCTATTGCCTACTTTTTATTTTTCTCTTTAAGGTTAATAATAACATCTTATATTATATGCTACTCTATTATTATTTTTTTTATATTTTTTCTGTATATAGCTATATGATATTTTTTACTAATAATTTTTTTCTATATAATTGTTAACCTTAATTTATTTTTTTTTATTTTTTATCATATAAGCAGTCATATTAGTACTTTATTAAGCTTTTGAAATTACATTTGTAATTATATAAATATCTCTAATATTTAAGTCTAGTATCACCCAGCCATCTTAATAGTATCTAAATGCAACCTGTCACATTACTTCAAACAGGAGTAAGCTGCTTGTATAACTACTTAAAATCTATAATAAAAGAGTCTTCTTTCTTTTATGACAAGCTCCAACATTGTTTTTATTACTTTCTTTTCAACTTGCTTTTCTTTTTCTCTTATTTTTTATTTTTTTTTTATTTTTTCTTAGTTTGCCTTTTTTTATTTTTTTGGTTCCTTCAGCTTTCCACCTTTTTTTCTTTTAATTTTACCTGTTATTTCAATTTTTTTCATTTATTTGATAATTTTTTTGCAATATATTCACTATACTTGTTCATAAAAAGTGTCTCAGACTATTATTGCTATGTGTTTATAAAATGCTATTTTGATTTTGTGTTTAAGAGCTGTGCTAGTTTGTTTTGTGTTTCTTTTAGAATTAGGCCTTTTATTAGTATTTCTTTTATTTTAACTTCTTCTGTTTCTGTTTTTCCAAAGAGTGCTATATATAACACATATAAGGGTCTAAATCTTTTCTTCTTTTTTTAATTTTTTTCATGCTATTACAATAGTTACTTTTTAGATTTTCTTCTAGAGATTTTTTTGCCTTTTGCATACTACCAAGTATGTTTGCATCTCTTTTGCTTTATTTTGGCATACTTGACATTCTACTGTTGTGTATATATCTGGCCTTCTTCTGTTAAGTTCTTCCAAAGTTAAAAGTTTATCTATTATGCACTTAATAAATGTACTTCTTCTGGCATTGCTTTTTCTTATTATACAATATATTCTCTTAGTCATCTTTAGCCTTTTTCAGAAATAAATCTAATCATAAATTATGATTTTTGTTTCTAACTCTAAACCTTTAACTGCTCTTATTTCTTTTTACTTTACTTCTAGTCTTATGTTCATTACTAACTTGCAAAGCAATCTTGCTAGTATGTTAGTTCATCTGTTTTTCTATTCTAGGCAGTACTCTACTCTTTATAACTAACTTTTTCAGCCTATACTATTTTTCTACTCATTGTTCTCTTTTTTGCTAAACTATTAGCTTTATTATTCTATTTATCTTTACTATAACTTTTAATTACCGTATTTTCCTGAAATTAAGCTATCTTTTTTTAGGAGATTTTGAATACAAGAAACAGTAAGTAGCTTATTTCGAGAGTTATAGCTTTTAAAATAACTTAAATATAATACAAGGAATAGCTTATTTTCAGGATTTATAGTTTTTAAAAGTAATTTAGTTTAACGAAGTAGCTTATTTTGGAAATACAAACTTTAGCATTAAAGATCCTCATGTTTACTATCTTTTAAAGGTTAAATGAGTTTTTGCTGCATATAGTGAGTTATTTACGGGTATTCATAATTTATTATATACGCTCTAACAACAATAGAATATTGTTATCTAATACGTATAACTGATTCTTTAGGGGCTACGTAGGTTCGCTGCAGTAAAAACTTAAATATTTATTTTGCAGCATTTATGTGTTAAATTCTTAAAAAGCATGCCTAAATCCTTAATTAATAAGCATTATTATTATTATTATTGTTATGCATAATATAAATAATACGTAGTCAGTGTTCTACATCTCAACGGCAATCATATACCAAGTTAAATTTACGAAAAAAATACATCTGCAAGTTGGAATTGGAGGATAGTACATAATTTATAATTTTTAGTGGTAAGTTACTAAAATAGTAAGCTACTGGTATCACTTGCATTTTTATTTATATTTTACAATAACTTACCATACCATGGTAACTTATTGGCAATTTACCATGATAAGCAACCTTGAGAGTAACAATTATTTTTTTCTCAAGAAGTTACTTTGTTTAAACTTGTTTAAACTTATTTAAACTTTAAATTTCATCAAATTTCCATAACGATAATGATAAACTATAACTTTAATTGATTGTGCAACATTCTGTTGAAGAATTTAACTTTAAAATTCGCATTTTGCATAATCAAAATTTTCATAATAATAATAATAAGCTGTAATTTAATTTATCCTATAACATTTTGTTGCTTGTTATTTAAAGAAAGGTTCATTTTGTAGTTTTTTTTTTTTTTTAAAAAAAAAAAAAAAGAAAAAAAACTCTACATAAAATTTACAACCTGTTCGGGCTACAAAAACCAATTAATTTCATTTGTGTAGTCTTACTATAGTAAATATGAAAAGGCAATGAAACTCTTACATGATCGAAGAAAAAAGTAAAGTTATAGAATTGGCATACCGTACTTCAAATAAATTTGCTGCTCACTGCTATTCTCTTGATTTAATGATGGTTGGTCAGTGGGTTAAACAATTTTTATAAGACCCTCCTCTTCAAAAGAGTTCCCGAAAGGTTGGTTCTGGACATCATGCATTGTTTCCTAAAGAAGAAACCCAACTTTATGAATGGATAATAGAGCTTTGTAAAGATGGTTTCACAGTTAATCATTCTAGTATTAAAATGAAAATGGTTGAAATTATGAGATCAAGTGCAAGACTAGCTCAAGATGAGGCAGAGAAGTTAGCAATTGCTAATTTTAAGTTTTCACAGCATTGGCTTGGTTGTTTTTTAAAACGTTATGACCTTTCTCTTCGCCGCAAGACTAATATTGCGCAAAAGTTGTCTGATGACCTCGAGAATAAGCTATTAAAGTTTTAACAGTTTGTTATTTGCCTCTGCCAGAAAAATAATTATCCTCTTGGTATGATTGCAAATATGGATAAGATGCCAGTTTGGTTTGATATGGTAGGTAACTTGACTGTGAATCCAAGAGGCATGAAAACAGTTCATGTTCGGTTAACAGGAAATGACAAAAATTGATTTACCATAGTATTAACATGCCTTGCTGATAGCACTAATCTCCTCCCAGTCATTATTTTCAAAGGAAAGATTTGGCCTGCTAATATACCCCTTCCTCCAGTTGGTGTAATTGTTTGGTTTCAAGACAAAGAATGGATGAATGAGTTAGGAATGGAACAATGGATAAAATATTGGAATAGAATATGACCAGAGGAACCTCATTCAAAAACAATGCTTGTCTTAGATTCTTTTTTAGCACATATTTTAGAGCGAATTAAGTCTGCATTGTGTTCAAGTAATACAGATCTAGCTGTTATTCCTGAGGGTCTTACTAGCATGTGTCAACCTCTTGATGTCTGTGTAAATAAGCCTTTCAAAGATAAGCTTCGTTAACAGAGGCATAGGTTAGTGTTGTCAATTTCTTGTTCTATTAATGAAAATTATATTTTATTCTAATTTCTATTGCTCTATTTA